AGGAGAATGGACCATTGGGGAACAGTGGGGGAATGAGAGAGAATAGATCATATGTTTCCATGGAAACTGTTACAATAATTGAGAGTTCTGTTCCAGACTGGGGATGTAGCATCAAATAAATCATAGATGAAAACAACAGTGTGTCATGAAAGCAAAATAGAATAACAAACTCCTTTGTGATCCTTTACAACAGATAGTAATCCTTTGCAACTCTAGTTTTGCCCCCCATGGTTTTACATTAATGTGGTATTGTATTTGAATGCCGGCTTTGAACACTTTGCAGTTTGGTTGGTATATAGATCAATCCCCTTAACAGAAGAACACAGTGACAGTGATTTACTCTCCCCCTTTTGAAGATGAAAGAGATCAGCCTTATGGGTAATCTGTTTACACCTTCCCTCCCCTAGGCCCACTGTGTCAGATCTGGCCCAGAAAAATATGCTCATAAGCACTGTAATGATTTGTGGAGCCACTAGGGAATGACAGGAGCATTTTGCTGAGACGTGTGAAATGAAACAAGGAAGAAATCAAGAGTGAAGGCCATTAAATTCCAAGCGAGTAAACCCCCAAATTAAAAAGAACGGGCTGGCCAGTTAGCTTAGTTGGTTAGAGCACAGTCTTATAACACCAAGGTCATGGGTTTGGATCCCCATACCATCCAGCCACCAAAAAACAACAACAACAACAAAAAACAAATAAAAAGAACAATTTGGAGCATTTGCTTACCTGAATAGGTGAGGGTGTTGACCTGGAAGGGTTATATTACCAGAGCAGTAGGGCGTGTTGGCATGTCTGGCTACTTGGAGATAGATGCCTTCCAGAACTTTTATTACAGAGCATTCAAATGTATTATTCATTTATCATTTAACGTTGATTCTTGTAGTTTTATCCTTAACCCTCTATTTTCATGATTCCTTGAAACTTTAATTTGAGGTCTGCCAACCTCTACACATTGCAAGAATTTAACCTCTGTGGTTGTTGAGTGATTGCTAGAGTTAAAATTATACTGCACATATATAAATTGGACAGTATGTATTGTCCAGATTGATTATACAAGTTTAGCTTATAAAGTAAACACAGCAAGTACCTGATAAAGTGCGTACACAGCACAAATACAACTCTTTACATTATAGACTTGATTCCTCCAACCCTAATGTGCTGCCATAATAAATGTCCATTGGATCTTTATTTAATGCTAATATTGCTTATATTCTGAGACTTTGTGTGTGCTCGTGGTGATTGTTTCTAAAATCCAAGTCTTTTTAAAAAGTTATGCTGGAAAGTTTGAATGGAGACTTTCTTATTCTCTTATACCCCTGACTCTTGCCTATGGAGTGTGCTGTGCTGATGTGTGTGTGTGTGTGTTGAGGTGGGGAAAAGGATGGGCTGGGGGAGGCAGTTGGTGTGTTGTGGTAGACATAGATCTGCAAACATAAAGATGCTCAAACCCAACCACACGAAAGACCTGTGTAAGATGATACTTACTGGAACATGATTGGTTATAGGAAAAAAATGGAAATAGCCCAAATGTTCACCAGTAATATGAAGTTTAAGTATGTGATAGTGTATCCATGATGCATTCAGAATAATAAAGTGTCTCTCTTCTCTCTCTCTTTCTCTTTCTCTCTCTCAGTACACACAGACACACATACCTCTGTCTGTCTGTCTGCCTGTCTGTCTGTCTGTCTATCTATCTATCTATCTATCTATCTATCTATCTATCTATCTATCTATCTACCTACCTACCTACCTACCTACCTACCTATCTACCTACCTACCTACCTATCATCATGGAAAGATTTCCATGACATTGTATCAAATAAAAATAAAGGCAAATCACAGGACATTATGATTAGTAATATACTGTGTATAGAACAATCCTCTTTATGTAATGTACTCATAGCCTCTACTCTCATTGATCTTTTCCCCTATTTTATTATGAAAAATAATAAGAAAATTTTTAAATATAGAAAATTTTTAAATATAGAAAAGTTGAAAGAAGTATACAATGAACATCCATAACACCCATCACCTAGATTTTACAATTA